TGGTAAGTCAGTGATTTTAGTTGTTGTAGACAGATTAACAAAATATGGACACTTTTCTAGGCTTCCACATCCTTACTCAGCCTCATTAGTGGCTAAGAACTTTGTGAAAGAAGTTGCCGAGTTACATGGCACTCCAGGCTCCATTATAACCAATAGAGACTCGGTATTTATGAGCAATTTCTGGTTATATTTCTTCAAATTACAAGGCATCCAGATCAGTCACTATACAAGCTATCACCCACAAAGTGATGGACAAATGGAGGTAGTAAACCGATGTCTTCAAACGTTTCTCAGATGTTTCGCTGGTTCTCACCCCAAGCAATTGAAAAAGTGGCTACCCTGGGCGAAATGGTAGTATAACACCATCTTACATTCAGCAGCAAGAATGACTCCCTATCAGGCCTTATATGGCAAGCCCCCCCCCCTCAATCTTATCTTATGAAAAGGGGTCAACAACGGTGGCAGCAGTAGAAGAGAGCTAGTACTCCAAGATCAAATCCTAAAAGAACTTAAGGTGAACCTACACCAGGTCCAGTAATTGATGAAGACCTCATATGACAAGAAGCACCACGAGTTGGAGCACCAGGTTGGTGATTTAGTTTACCTGAAGTTGCATCCTTATAGACAACTCTCTCTAGTAAGAAAGTGTTGGCAAAAGTTAGCCCCAAAATATTATGTACCCTTTCGCATTATTGAGAGGGTAGGGAAGGTGGCCTACCAGCCTGAGCTTCCAGCGACTTCCAAACTCCACCCTGTTCTTCACATCTCATTACTCAAGAAGCACATTGGCCCAGCCACACCCTCAAGTCTGACTCTCCCTCACTTCAACAGGGAAGACCAGGTGCAGCTGCACCCTTGTAAGATTCTAGACATTCTTTGACTCGACAAGGCAAGCAGGTCATCAAGGAGGTTTTGGTGTAGTGGGCTAATTTTCCAAAGGAGGCAACTTGGTAAGCATGGAAGAAGTTTCATCAAGAGTTTCCTAAGATAGACCTTGAGGACAAGGTCCATTTTGAAGGAGAGGGTGTTGTTGGAAGTACTCCTGGGATTAGGCCCATTATGGATAGTTTGGTACATGAGTCAAGCCCCAACATGCAACATGAACATAGGAGAGCTTCCTCGGCAGCAACATCACCAAGTTTTACTTTAGGAAGCCACATCAACCACTGAAATAAGACAAAGGATAACTAATTCTATAATGGAGATGTTTTGCTTGTACGAGCTATATAAGGCAGTTGATAGTGGAATGAGGATCACGAACCTAATTGAGCTAACTTCCCCTCCTCCTCTCTCTCATCCTCCTCCTATCCCTAGTCCCTCTTCTCTCCTTTCTCTTCTTCTCTTACTCGACGTTCCTTTGTTTTTTATGTAAGAGTGAAGGTTGAGCTTCCTTCTAGAAGTTTTGGAGTTAGGCCATTCCTAACAGGATGCAACCATACCAAAGGAAACCTATAGGTAAATTTTCCCATGCATAAATTTGCGTAGAAGGTCATTACCTAATGTTGGTCCTAGCTATCTGGAGTTTTAGGATGGGTGGACTTAAGGAGTGGCGATTTCGTAGGAATTTTTGGGTATCCAACCCATCCTGACCCTAATTGGACTAGTTTATCATAACCTTATAGGGTTTGGGATTTTAGATTAAAACTGTTATGGACGCATTCGTGGGGAAGAAGTACCGCCGCCGGCAGCAGCAGTAATGTGGGACCCTCATCAGATTATCTAGCTAGCCACAGTTCATCTTACCTTATCTTTATCTTATCTGCTTTCTTACTCTTATCTTATCTGTAAGCAGTTTAGTTAGTCTTATCTAGGAGTCTTATCTATCTTATCTGTAAGCAGTTTAGTTAGTC